TATATACATATTAAAGCAGAGCAGAGAAGAGCAGAGCAGAGTATTTGCGGAGTATTGCTGACAGTTTGTACTTGCATAAGGCTCCCATTGACTAATTTACGCGTACGTGCATAGCAGAGGTCATCTACGACTATAATATGCTCTAATATATGGTAGTTTGGAAAACATACCGTGGGCATGAGGAAGTAGGAATGTCCACACAAATGTACTACGTGTGCCACGGGCAGCTGTGCTCTCTCCCTGAAATATCATCTGAATTCTAAGATGAAACCATGTGTCTGCAGATGAAGAAAGTAGACTTTAGATATTGTAGTATCGTGTGTAAGGGCGAAAAGAAAATCGAGTAACCCTATTCTTGCGTATATGGATACAACTGTCGTGAATCTACAATTTGTAAAAAATATACAAACCACACACACCCACACACATACATACATCCAGGGCTATGCAGGAATGCCGTTGAAGAGTAGTCAATTCGGTAAACCGCACGCGCTGACATACGAGTTCGCGCTGCAGGCTCTGAAAACACAGATGAACGACAAGACAGGACTATCACTGGGGAAAGTGTATGGTGTTGGTGACAATCCTACGTCAGATATCCGCGGAGCTAACAATCAGGCTTCAATGTCGTCTGTCATGGTATGGGCTCGGCTATGTGAGGGCATTATCAGTATACTCCATGACAAGCGTATACATAGAAGAGTACTGAGATATATATTTTTTCTCTATGCGATTCCGTCAACAAGTACGAAATCCTTGTGTCTATTGTGCTCTATTTGGATGGGGCGGTGTCTACCATCGCGCGCAATGCTACTATATTGACCAAACAACCCGCATGGTGTCTTTATTTTAGAAGCGGCCTCGATTACGTTGCGTACGCTTGCGACTTATGTATGCATATATATTATTGTATTGGTATACTATGTGTTATTATTATTATATATATATATATATGTATGTATGTATATATATGTATATGTATATGTATATTTCTGTATACTGTTTGTTCGTATGTATGTATATGTATGCATGTATATATATGTGTGTGTGTGCGTGCGCGTGCGCGTGCGTGTGTATCTGTTTTTCTCAATACACATATATATCACACACACACATATATATATATATATATAAATGATATGTATGCATATATGTTTACGTATGCATGTATGTATAGACATGTATGTATATTTATATATATATATATAAATATATTGTATGTATGTGTGCACATATGTATAAAATATATATACATGTATGTATATATATATATTTATCTATATCTTTATATATTGTAAGTATATATATATATTTATCTATATCTTTATATATTGTATGTATATATATATCTATATCTATATCTTTATATATATATCTAAATACGTTTGTATGTATGTATGTATGTACATATGAATATGTATATGTCTGTGTCTGTGTCTGTAAATATATATATCCA